ATTGGTTGACTGTGGGCCAATCACCAGGAGACTGTGAATTCTAGTCCCACTCTAGGCATAAAATCCAGTAGGTTGATTTTAGGCCAATCACCAGGAGACAGTGGGTTATAGTCCTGCCTTAAGCCTGAAAGCCAATTGGTTGACTGTAGGCCAATCACCAGGAGACTGTGAATTCTAGTCCCACCTTAGGGATGAAATCCAGCAGGTTGATTTTGGGCCAATCACCAGGAGATGGTGGGTTCTAGTCCTGCCTTAAGCCTGAAAGCCAATTGGTTAACTGTGGGCCAATCACCAGGAGACTGTGAATTCTAGTCTTGCCTTAGGCCTGAAAGCTGACTGGGTGAGTTGGGCCAATCACCAGGCGATGGTGAGTTCTAGTCCTGTCTTAGGTATGAAAGCTGGCCGGGTAACTTTGGGCCAGTCTTTGTCTTTCTCTTTCTCTCTCTCTCTCTCAGTCCAATCCACCTCACAGCGTTGTTGTTGTGTGGGGAAAATAAAGAGTATTAGATATATTTCCTGCCTTGAGTTATTTATAAACGAAATAAATGCAGGATTTAAAAAGATCTAAATCTAATCAGTTAGATATCTAAGTGTTAAAGCAATTGACCAAGAGGCTAACACACAGGTGTTAAATACTGTATCCCAGTGTGCTTGGCTCACATCTTTTTGCTCGCCTGTTTGCACAGGGGTGTGCAAAACTTCTGGCTCAGGGCCATGTTTGTTCTTTCAAAAGCAGAGAAGGAGGTGCCTTCCCACAGCAAAGGCAAATACACCAGAAGGCAGGGTAAAAGCTAAATAAATATGGATAGAATAAATAAATTCATTTTCAATAAAGAGAGTTAACATGATTTCTCTAATGTGTTTAATGATTGTCTCCTTTTGTGCTAAAAAATTGGGAGAAGCCCTGGAGTGATTGTCAAAGCTTTTGAGGGTGTCATATGGTCCTGGATTTTACAGTGGGCTTTTGTGCCTTAAACACACACACATACACACACACAGCACAGATATGTTTCTCTGTGAATGAAGGGATAAAACTGGCATGTGAATTCCAAACAGTGGATCATGTTTGAATACAACTCTTGGTCTTCATCTCAGGGCCCAAGCTCAGCCCTACATGAAATAATTCACGTTATGGTAGGACACTCAGTGTGTTGACTCAGCCTTTAGAAAAGGTTTATGCACCCATTGGCTTTGTCTGTTCCTTGCAGCCTTGATTCAGACCAGAAAGACCAGTTAATTGAGGTCATTGAGAAGCTGCTGGCCGATAAGACCACGGTGAGTAAGACTATCTCTGGAGGCGTTGAAGATAAGGGAAGAAAATTGAGAAAGAGAAAAAAAAAAAAAGAATTTGCAAAACGCTTTCGGAATGAAGTCTCAAGATGGCATTTCTCAACCCTGATTGACTCTAAAGATGTGTGGACTTCAACTCCCAGAATTCCACAGCATGCTGAGTAGGGTATTCTGGGAGTTGAAGTCCATACAGTTTAACATTGATAGGGTTGAGCATCAGAGGTGGGTACTCAGCCGGTTCTGACCGGTTCTTAAGAACCGGTAGCGGAAATTTTGAGTAGTTTGGAGAAGTGGCAAATGCTGCCTCTGACTGGCCCCGCCCCCTTCCATTCTCTGCCTCCCGAGTCCTGGCTGATTGGCTGGGTCTTCTTTTGTTGCCCTGCAGAGGAGAATGGAGCTGGAAAGCAGGTTAGTGAGGTGGGGAGGGAATGGAGGTTTTACAGTATCCTTCCCCAGCCAGCCAAGCCATGCCCACCAAGCCATGCCCGCCATGCCATGCCCACAGGACCGGTAGTAAATCGAATCCCACCCCTGTTGAGCATGACTGTTGTAGATTAATAGGTTGGCCAAGTGATACTGCTTGGATTATCAGGCGCCGGATAATAATCCATAAAATCTCCTGCTTTATTTTTGTGCTCAGGGTGCTACAAGAGTTTAAAGGAGGATGAACCGACAGGGAAAACGAAAAAAAAGAAATTTTTTTTTTTTAAAAAGGAGGGACTGACAATCACTTTGTCTTCTTTAATAGAGAAGAAAGCCAAGAAAGAGCCTTCTGACAATTGTCGAAGAAATCTATAAAAAGACGCTTGCTTCTCCGCTCTGAATCCACACAGTCTCCTAATGTGTGAATTCTCTTCTCTGTCTTCTCGTCCAGTTGGTGGCTGGCAGCGTGGTGATGGCGTTCGAGGAAGTCTGCCCTGAGCGCATCGACCTCATTCATAAGAACTACCGCAAGTTGTGCAACCTGCTGATTGATGTGGAGGAGTGGGGCCAGGTGGTCATTATTAACATGCTCACCCGCTACGCTCGCACCCAGTTCCTCAGCCCCAACCTGAACGTGAGTCCAGGAGCAGGTGACCTCTATGACCTATCACAGGGGTATCAAACTCGATTTCATTGAGGGCCACATCAGGGTTGTGTTTGACCTTAGCGGGCTGGGGGTGGCGGTGCCTGAGATGGGCGTGGCCAGCTCGACGTCCCTCATCGAGGCTCTGTTTTCGGCCATGATGGCCTCCAGAATAGAATGTGGTGCTTTATCCAAGCACGATTCTCAGGGGTTTCTGTTTAACAAGATTCATTGAGAAGGGTTGGAGGTTAGCAAGCCCGTGTTCGAGACCCAAGGGCATCCATGGGGCGGGGTGAGTTCCCCATCCTTTGCTCCAGCTCCTGCTGGGGACAAGAAAGGACCTCCCCCCCCCACCCCCAAACTGGGCATCCCACAGGCAACGATGATGTCACCAGCTAATCCTTTTCAACCAGGAAGCACCTCAGCGCTTCTGACATGATGCAATTGAGATGGGAAAGGGTAGCGTGGTGGAATGCGGTCTGGATTCCCTGGAAGGAGGAGCCGCATTCCAGTGGAGTAAGAGATGGCAACTCTGGTTGGGAGGGGGAAAAAAGGAGTTAAGAAGCCATCATCAGAGTATATAATAATTGCTTTGGTTTGGCAAGATTTCTATCCGTGGGTGAGGAGAACGATAAAGGAAATTGCTCAGGAGTCATTCCACAGGTCTTTCTTGGTTCTTGGCACCTGACAGGCAGGGGCAGTACAAGAACCCCAACAAGGGGACCTATTTTCATCTTAGAATCAATTTATATCTCAGAGGACATTAGAATGGAAATGTTCTGAATCTCTTTTTCAGAGACTTATAGCGCACTGGAGAAAAGGTTATGGAGAAATCAACAACCAGTTATTTACATTCCTTGAATCTTTCTCAATTAAAACATCCAGCCATTATACTGTCAGGGTGACTAGGGGTCAGAGTTATTAGCTGTGAGAACTTGAAACATCCACATTTCAAGGGCACCGTACCTGCTTTTGCGCAAACCTGGCCCCCCCACCCCCCGGATCTTGTAATGTTGTTAGAACAGGATGTCCCAGTTCACACCACGTGTTCGACTTGACTAGAACAGAGCTGAATAGCTTGTGATTGCAAGAAGCACAATTGTCTTTGTATATACTCGGGTGAGTCAGGCCATCCCTACTGAACCCACATGTGATTTATTTGTTCTTGGAGCGTGGCGTCTTGTGCAAAGTAAGCCATTTTGTTTCATGTAGAGATGGGAACTCAATCGGACGAGCGAGTTTATGGCTTAATGAGCCCAACTAAGGAGCGACGTAGAACAGTTTAGAAGTGGCTTGCAGATTGCGGGGTGGCGGGGGGGAAAGGTCCACGTACTCAACCTCAAATACCTTCCGTTGTTTTCCGATGGACAGGAATCCCTCCTGGAGGAGAACGCTGAGAAAACCTTCTACGGATCTGAAGAAGAAGACGCCAAAGACGACAAGGCGAAGTCCACACCCTTGGCAAAGCGCAAGCCTTACGTGATGGATCCTGACCACCGCTTACTACTGCGCAACACCAAACCCCTGTTGCAAAGCCGCAATGCTGCAGTGAGCCCTTTTCTTGGGGGTGGGGGGGAAGCTTGCCTTGAAAATTAAGAAGTCCCCTGCCCTGCCTTGGGGGGGGGTCACCAAAATGGGTGAAGAAAAGAAGAAAGGGAAATAGACCCTGCGCAAGAGCATTCTCCGTAGTCATGCCAGTTGAACTTGACAGTCATGCCATTTTGTGGTTACTCTCAGAAAAGGGGGCAGGGCCAACAGGAAAGGGGTGGAGCTAGCTGGACCCAAGTGAACATAGTGATAGCATTTAGACTTATATACTGCTTCATAGTGCTATTACAACAAACACTTGCTAAGAGGTTTACAGGGTCAGCATCTGTGTCCACAACAATCCGGGTCCTCATTTTGACGGCCTCGGAAGGATGGAAGGCTGAATCAACCTTGAGCTGGTGAGGGTCGAACTCCTGACTGTGGGCAGAGTTAGCCTGCAATACTGCATTCTAACCACAGGGAGGGAGGGAGGGAAGGAAGAGTCAACCTTGAGCCGGTGAGGCTGGAACTCCTGACTGCGGGTAGAGTTAGCCTGCAATACTGCATTCTAACCACTGGGAGGGAGGGAGGGAAAGAAGGAAGGAAGGAAGGGAGGGAGGAAGGAAGCAAGGGTCAACCTTGAGCCAGCGAGGCTCGAACTCCTGACTGTGGGCAGAGTTAGCCTACAATACTGCATTCTAACCACTGGGAGGAAGGGAGGGAAGGAAGGGAAGGGAAGGGAAGGGAAGGGAAGGGAGGAAGGAAGGAAGGAAGGAAGGAAGGAAGGAAGGAAGGAAGGAAGGAAGGAAGGAAGGAAGGAAGGGTCAACCTTGAGCCGGCGAGGCTCAAACTCCTGACTGTGGGCAGAGTTAGCCTGCAATACTGCATTCTAACC